AAACTCAACACAACAACAATAAGTTGAAAACACTAAGAAAAGCATTTAACATTTAAAGAAAACTGTTGAAACACAAGAAAATTCCCAAAATGATACAATCCAGCCCAAAATCAGGGTGTTACTGAGTACATGAGCGTCTAAATCAGTAAATAGAGTCTACTACAGTCTCTAAAGATATAAACTGAAAGTACGACAAAGGTAAAGAAGGAGAGTCAAGGCCTGCGAACGCCATGCAGCTACCTCAAAAATATCCAAACTCTGGAACCTCGATCAGCAACCGCCGCTATGACCGTATCGCCTGGATCTGCACATGAGGTGCAGGGGGTAACGTGAGTACACCAACCCAGTAAGTAACAAGTCCAAACTTTGGACTGAAAGGTAGTGACGAACTCAACCTCAACAGGTATAACAGAAATAAATGTGCGAAAACGTAGGCATGCTTTCAAGTCAAATATACAGTTCAAAACAGTAATGGTGATACAGATATGAACACTGTAAGGAATACAACTCAGCTATCTCTACATGCCTATGCACAGACTGTATGAATTGCACCATGTATTCTCACTCTCAAGTGCTCAACCACTCGGTACTGTATATGGCCATCCAGCCCAGGGAAATCCATCCCGGAACATATACAACACTGATAATAAGTCACCCAGTACCGATGAAAAAGGGCAATCCAACCCTGTGAAGAAATCCATCTCCAGGTATCAAGTACATCCAAATCCATGTCCAGGGAAATCCATCCCTCAATAATATCATCCGCGCTCACTGGGGATGTGTTACAGACCTGGAGGGGCTCCTGCTGCCCAAGCGCTATCATAATCATCATTTAACCGCTGCGCCGTGCAGCCTGATCCTATAACTGTCACTCATAACCAGGCTCTCGACCTCACTCAGTCATCAACCTCTCAAGTCTCACCACGGGCTCACAAATGTCATGAAAACAACCCGGAACAATGATATGATGAATCAATAAATAACTGAGACTGAGATATGATATAAAAATACATGATCATGACTGAGTATGGAATATTAAATGAAAACTAGTGAGATGACAGCAAGAAACGACCGCAAAGGGTCCAAACAATATCAACACAAAGCCTAAACATAATATCTAGCATGATTTACCGCTCAACTACTTTATGACATGATGAAAACATGGATATAAATAGGATAGAGTCACAAAAACGGTGCCATGGAATCTCCCAGGTCACAATTCTCACGGTGCACGCCCGCACGCCTGTTACTTGGCATGTGCGTCACCTCAATACTAATCACATAACACATAGTCCAGGGTTTCGAACCCTCAGAACCAAGTTTGGAAGCATTACTTACCTCAAACCAAGCAAAAATCCTACTCCGCGATGCCCTTGCCTCTCAAATCGGCCTCCAAATACCCCGAATCTAGCCACAAGCAATACAATACGATCAATATAGGCTAAAGGAACCAATTCCACAAGAAAAATACTAATGTATAGCCAAAAATCCGAAATCGGCTCAAACCCGACCCCGGGCTCACGTCTCGAAATCGACAAAAGTCACAAAACCCGAAAGCCCATTCACTCACGAGTCTAACCATACCAAATTTACTCAAATCCGACAACAAAATCCCATTCAAAACCTCAAAATTCCATCTCAAGAATACTTCCACTTTTTCCCCAATTTCTCACCCCAAATCAGAAATTAGATGATGAAATCAAAGATATAATCATGGAATTTAACCAAAATCAAGTGAGAAACACTTACCTCAATCAATTCCCTGAAAATCCCTTCAAAAATCGCCCAAATTCGTGGTCTCTAGCTCAAAATACGAAAAATGGATTCAAATTCTCAATTTTTAAATTTAACACTCTGCCCAGATTTCCTTCATCGCGATCGCGAAAATAGCCTCGCGATCGCGAAGCACAAATAGACTGCCCCACATTTTTACCCTATGCAAACACGGAATTCACCACGCATTCGCGGATCACTGCCTCTCAATCCTACGTGATCGCATCCTACCTCACGCGATTGCATAGAGCAATTACCTAAACTCCACATCAGCTCGATTACTTCTACGTGAACGCGGCATTGGCCACATGTTCGCGAAGCACATCTTCACACACGTACGCGAACACGTTCCTAACTCTACGATCGCATAGACCAAACTCACCTTTTCCCCAAATAAGCTTACGCGATCGCGGATGAACTCATGTGATCGGGTATAAGGAAACTAGAAGAAATACAACAACAGACATCATCTAACACTCTAAGGCCAAAAATGATCCGTTAACCATCCGAAACTCACCCGAGGCCCTCGAGACCTCAAGCAAACATACGAACACGTCCCATAACATCATATGAATTTAGTCGAACCTTCGAATCATTCAAAACAACATCAAAACACTAAATTACCCCCGGATTCAAGCCTAAGAACTTCTAAACTTCCGAATTCCACAAACGATGCTGAAAGCTATCAAACCACGTCCGAATGACCTCAAATTTTGCACACAAGTCAGAAATGACAACACGAACCTACTGCAACTTCCTGAAATCCAATTCGACCCTGATATCAAAATTTTCACTACCGGCCAAAATCGCCAAAATTCTAGCATTCGCCAATTCAAGCCTAATTCTACCACGGACCTTCAAATTACATTCCGGATGTGCTCCTAAGTCCAAAATCACCTAACGGAGCTAAGGGAACCATAAAAATTCAAATCCGAGGTCGTTTACACATAAGTCAACATCCGGTCAACTTTTCCAACTTAAACTTCCAAATAAGAGACTAAGTGTCTCAATTCACTCTGAAACCATTCCGGACCCAAACCAACTAACCCGGTATATCATAATATAGCTGTAGACCACAAAAGAAGCAGGCAATGGGGGAACGGGGCTATAACTCTTGAAACGACCGACCGGGTCGTTATAGTTATTTACCGATATGAAAGGAAAACGGTCCTTCAAAACAACTTCATTTTCCATATATATATATATATATATATATATATATAAAAAGCAAAAGATGGAAGACAAAATTAGCATGACATGAATGAATGCTGGAAAAAAAAAAATAGAGTCTTCTGCTATCATTTAGGAAAAAATACAGTAACATCTTATGAAACAAGCACTCTAACTGAGACCACATTGGAAATTGTCTTATTTCTACCAATTCCTAATTTCTTTTTACTGATTTTCTACTACTGTGAAAGATCATTTCTGAAATTATTATATATAGTGATTTAGCATAGGGCTATTTGTTTAATGGCGAGCAAAACATACGTCATATCCCAAAAAGTAAATTAAATCTCATCAAAAGTGGAGAGCTAAATTGTTTTGACGTACCATCAAATTCGCATTGTGTTATCAGAAATAAAAACTTCAAGCTTGCATGATCGTTAACCAATTATGACGAAAATATCATGGTGATCATGGTTCAGTATAACTTGGAAAGAATAGAAAATACACACTGATTATTTGAGAGGCTTCTAGCAAAAAAATTCTGTTCCGTCAAATAGTGCATTGTAATTTTTCGAGACACTTCTACGTAGTTTCTTTTTCCTAATGAGACGAATACGTTTAGTTTGAGTTAAGTTCAATTTTTTGTTCTTTAATGCCCATTTTGAGCTTGCTCCACCGGCTAACCGAATTTGTGTCTTTATGTAGCCGATCTTTCTTTCCTTTTTATCTTAATTAAAAGCTATAAAAATAGCAACCTAAACATCAAAAAGAAAGGTTATTTATACGTAAAAAAATTACTTATATTATTACATAAGTAATTGCACGAGGTGCCCTATTTAGTCGCCCCCATTTAACCTGTATTCACTTTTTAAAATATTTTTTAACTAATACCCAAAGTTTAAACAACTTCAAGCTTTTTTCTCCTCTTTCTTCTTCTTCTTCTTCTTCTTCTTCTTCTTCTTCTTCTTGTGACAGTGATTTCATATGGTATTCGTGCACATATTTTAAAATTGTTTATGATGCAGTAGTGAGATGCTGTGACGCTTTATTTTTTACTATTGCTTAGGGTTTCTTCTTCTTTTTCTTTTTCTTAATTGCAAAATGGGTTCGTTAGATTTAATGTTGTTTTGACAAGTGGTCAATTGGAGTTTGTTCTTGATGATATTTGGAGGCTATGTTTCAAATTTGAGCTCATTTGGAGTAGATTTAGGTGTTAAAACAACAAATTTCTGTTTCTGAGCAATTTGCACTTCAGGCCTATTTGGCCGTAAGTGCGTGAAAACGTTGGTTGCACTTCAGAACTATTTGGCATTAATTGCATCATTGCATCTTAAGTGCAATTTTTGCACTTTCAGACTTAATTGGCCTAAGTGCACTGCACTTCAGACTAGCTTTTTTAACTTCAGAACCATAAATCTGAAGTTAATCGTAAAGTGTGTAGACTTGCAAATTTTTTTTGCAAAATGAATATAGCTTCAACTGTGACCCCAAAGTCAAGTATTTATTCAAAAGCCCCTGCAGCATGCGCCCACAACTATTTTTATATCCAAATATAAAAGCCGAACAACATAGAGGCTAAGGTTGTCAAATTAGCTCCTAAGATATCCTAACTTGCTGTATCTGATAAATTGTTTTGGTTTATAATTATTGGGGAAATTATTTTAAGCATGGTCCAGATTAACCCATGTATAACATTACAACTACTCTCATTGCACGCGCGAGCCAAGTTAATCCACAAATAATCTATCGTTAAATAGACATACTAATAGTATGTTCGATAGTCAAGATAAATAACAGAAACTTGCATTCATCTACCGTGTAATTAAACAAATCATGAAATAATAAACCAAGATAATACGATGTAAAACGAATTAGGTTATGACTCATCAAGTCCTCGCCCATTTTGGCCACGTTAAAATTCCGTACTGATTTGGCTTGTTCTAGCCCGCCAAAACCTATCCCCGCATGCCAGTGTATCAGAACGAGACTCGCAACAACAATCAACGTGCTCTACCAGAAATAAACATTTGCATCACCAGTAGAATACTGCACGGAACTGAAGTCGAAACGTTTGCTTTTTAGCCATTAACACGGACTCACAGAAAAGGAGCCCGCTGCTTGGAAGCCATCTTTACAAGATATATATACAATTCAAGAATCCCACTTCCACTTAAGAAAAAAAATTTATACAACGATTACTGAAGCAGACTATCCATAACCGGAAAAAATGAACACAAGGAAAAGAAAAGGACAATGTGCACGAGAAGAGACTCAGAATAGTACGACAAGTTCTCTCTTTAATTATCAGCAGCCCGGAAGACGGTCAACAGAGAAAGAAACAGATTGATGATGTCGAGATACAAGGATATAGCAGCCCAGATATACTCATCGTACGTGTAGCGCTTGATTAAATTGTCCGTATCATAAACAATGTATCCACAGAATATGATAGACGCCAGACAGCCATAGATCATCACTGAGATCTTACCCAGAGGGAAAAGGATCTGCCATAGACAAAAAAACAAATACGATCAGCAGTCATATCTTCATCGATAGTGGGGAGGAGCAACAGTTAGAAATGATAAATTTCACAAACCTGGATGAACGCAAACACCATAAGAACAATGAGAGCCCCGAACAAGAAAGGTCCCAGGAAGTTAAAATCTTGGCCTCTCCTAGCCGCCCAGAAGGTGTATAATGTCAGACTAATCACCACTGCTGTCGTCAATATTACTGCCTCCAAGATTACTTTGCCTGAACAATTACCAGTAGAAACAGTCAGTACGCCAGTAATGTCGCCAATTTCTAGTTTTAAGTCCACTATTGCAAGTACGTCAATCTTCCAGAGATACAGAATGACACATAGAAAAGCACCAGCAGATGATACAAATGTTCATAAAGGAAATCCAGAAGACTATAATAAATTCATAAAACTTGAACAGAGGATTTGCATAACCAAGCATACAATAAGTGGAATCATTTTAGGACATGTGAATTATCACGTGTTACAGAGATACAGAATGACACATAGAAAAGCACCAGCAGACGATACAAATGTTCATAAAGGAAATCTTCTAAAAGCTTGAACAGAGGAATTGCATAACCAAGTATACAATAAGTGAAATCATTTTAGGATGTGAATTATCACATGAGGACCGGCTGATTCGTCTCATTGACCAACATTATTGCAACAAAAAATCGATACCCTGGTTGATTATTTCGAACCAATTGACGTATAACTATTTTTCATATGTACAATCAAAGTGAATGTACATAAGAATAATGTCAATTGTCTCGATTTTTTTTAGATGTCAGTAGATCCATTACATATTTTTTCTGTTCCAACTTAAAATAAAACGAACTTCGAGTAAAAAAGAAATCATCAAAGATTCTCCAAGAAGGAAAATCTAACTACAAAAATATTATCTTTCAGAATATTTTGATGATTTAATATGGCAAAAAGAACAAAGAAGCTAAAAGGTTCATGAAGCTTGAAGCAAAATCCAGAAGTGACGCACATGCCTCTTTAAGGTGAAAAGCATTATGGAATAATTTAGCACTATAATTATCAAATTTCAATTAAAATAATAGGTTCAACATTCAAAGTTCAACAACGCTATGTTGCTCGGAAGATAGGAAGCTTGAGGAGCTAATGGAAAGAAATAGAAATAACAGATCAGCTGCCTATTCTGTGGCACTTATTCCCACAGCAGACTCAATAGTTGCCGTTACGCAGGGTCACTTGTGAAAGAACTTAGCTAAAGGGGGCCATCACAGTTGGGGCGGTGGATGACAGGCTAGCGGACTTTTCAAAAATGTCGCCGGATGTGTGTCGGATCTTCGAAAAGTAGTGCATTTTTGGAGGATCCGACACGGGTGCGGCAATATTTTGGAGAGTCCAGGCTACGTAGCAACAACGCTGGTATTAAGCCAACTACTCATAGTAGAGATTTAAAGAATCAATTGTTTCCCGTTGGGATAACTTTGTGCGACTTACTTTGAACCACACATTTGTGTGAAGCGCATGGCTTTAATAATGATACAGACAACTGCTTTGCACCACTTTAAGCATGACGTTTAATATTATCATTGCAATCATCACGTACTCGCATAGCATCAGTTCTTATTACATTATATTTCTTCATCAAATAAATCTGTGGACTACTAAGATCTAAACCAAGGAAGATTATGTAATGAATCTCAGACTATCTTTATGCACCTAGTTAAAATATATGATGGTAAACAGGAAAACAGAAACTGTAAATTGACAAAATTTCTGCTTATATCTATATCTATTGCAAAATCAATAAACTCATCCCCTCCTCTTCCCTGCAACCCACTAAAAGGAATGGTGGAGAGAAAGTATTATTATACACCGCACATTTCTGAAGCCCCAAAGTGTGTGTAGAACTATACATAATACTACCAATTATATATGGTAGCATAAATAACAATATCTATAAGGTAGTTTGATTCCATCTTTCAAAAACATTATACCCCATGACTAAGACATAACAGTCGCTTCATTTAATAAATGATTTTGACACCCTTAAATACACAATGCGAACATCACATGGTTAGGTAGTAGCCGTAATACTTAATTCCGAAGATTTGTATTAACACATTGCCACAAGACATCGAATATTCCAAAGAATACAAACTCGTAAACGTCTATTATAAATGCACTTGACATAGAACGCACGCAATGTCGAAAACAGAAAAAATAAAATAAAAGTAAAACAAAAAAAAAATAGAAAATACTTACCGCTGGTGAATGCGCAAGTTAATCCGATGGTAAAAGCAAGAGAAACTGTGAAAACCCCAAGAAGCAAGTAGTTCACCGGATGTTTCTGATGATAGTAATACAGCGGGCACAACGCTGCAACAACACAACCAATCAATTCATTAATTACTCATACCCAATAGACAAAATAAATAAAACCCCAAAAGATGAACGATAAAAATCATAAATTAATTAATTCAAACATCCAAACATACTGATAAAAGGAGTGATGATGAGAACAATATAAAGTCCTAAGCCTGCACTTGTGGTTGTGAAGAAATGAGAAATCGGATGAACGGTGACAACGACGGAAGCCACAGCAATGGTGAGAAGCAATTGTATAGTAATGATTGAGTAGACTTTTCGAATAAAAGACCATCTGAGTTCGGGCGCTTCCAGCATCGCCGGATACAACGGCCTTGTTCCGGCTTCCACGTCATCTTTCCGGTATGCCTGGTTCCACATGTCTCACAGATAACTGCAACAGATAAACTGATACTACTGTTTTTGCACCGCCTTTGTTGGGCTTGAAGTTTGGTAGGTTTACTTTTGCGTGAGAGAATTTGAGAGAAGTGGGTATTATAACTTGTGTGGAAATTGTGGGCCGGGTTGGGCTCGGCCCGCGTAAAAAGATAGGACGGAGTAGAATGGAAAGTTCGTGATTCGTCGGACCACGCGTGTGCGTAGACACGTGTTAAGAGAAAGCGTATCGCATATCCAACGTGGATATCTTTCTTTGACTTAACATTCCAGATTTCTCTGGACTATGGGAAGATTGCCTACTTATTCTTATCTTTGCTAGATTGCTTACTTTTGAAGGCAAAAGCTTAGCAGATTTCCGCGGTTTTATTTGAGCCAATGAATAACCAATTAATGGTGACTTATTTTTTTCAATATACATGGGACTCTTAGAATTTAACTTGTTATTGGATTGAACTAGTAGGAAAGAGTATACACTAATAATAATATGATGAATATGACAAGATATAAAGGGTATCTTCTCTAATAATACGAAAGCTTTTCTTTGTTAGGATTTAGTCAATTTTCTCCTTCGTGAGCCAATAGAGAGGAAGGAAACTCAAACTACATTTATTCCAAAAATATAATAAAAAGGAGACGAAGAGATTAAAGTTGTAATCCACTCCTCTGATCTATTTTAATTAATCTGGCGTTACTATATAGGAAGTTCAGAAGGTTATTCTTTAACCATATTTTTCTCAAACATTTTAAAATAATTTGAATTATAAATTATTATGACTTAAAATATTTTGTATGTAGTTTCCAAATATGTCAATTTTATTTTCAAAAGTTAGGGAACCTTTGAAAATTTGGGATTTATTTTCAAAACTCATGTTTGGCCATAAATTTTGCCCATATTTTGGTCAAATCCCAAATCTCAAAATCAGCTATTGAGCTGATTTTGGGCCAAAATCCCAAAACTTGGGAATTATATACATGTTTTTCCAAAATAAAGTTGGAAAATATGTTTTGAAAACGTATGTCCAAACACATTTTCATCTTCAAACCGAACTTCACCCAAATCAGATTTTTCAAAACAAATTTGGGATCTATGGCCAAACGTTAGCTTAAGAACTTTAGCCCTTGTGCATCAAAGTTCAAATAGTGCCACACTACGTTGCATCATTCAAGAATATTGGACACCTGCCCATGTTGTCCAGCCAAAGGCCCAATGGCCTAATCCTATTTTCTTTTGGTTTCCATTACTATTCGGAATTGGATTCGGTGTTTATTCCTATTTGAGTGGGTTTTGGCTTTAAGAGAAAGCACCACTCATGATCTATAAATAGGACAACCTTGGAGAATTGTTCTATGCTCATTGATACAAGTCTTTGAAAGACTTAAGCACATAAGAGTGGTTTTTGAGAGAGCTTTCATTAAGAGAGAAGAGAGAAGAAAAGTATTTGTTTTGCTGTAGATTTTTATTCCAACCAGCCAACTTCAAATCACGTTTTCTGATTTGTTAGCCATTGGATCAGGCTAAAATTTTCACTGAACGTTCGTAACATCTTCGTCTTGGATTTGAACGGTGGAGATCGGATTCGAAGGCCCGTAGCATCTGATTTCGAGCCTCGAACAGCAACTTCATTTTTGTGATTCTCTTCTTTCTTCAATTGATTAGTTGTTGCTATTGTTGCTCCGTATTTGGCACTTATTGTGTAGCCAATTTGGAGAACTTTTGTAACCCTTTTATTGTTATGGTGGAGCTTTTTTGGATCTTTTGTGATCCCGTGGTTTTTACCTTCGATTTGAAGGGTTTTCTACGTTAAAATTTGGTGCTCTTTATCTTCTTTATTTTCGGGTTTAGCCTCTTCCTCGACACAACAGTTGTGTCAGAGCCTTGGTCATTTATCCGGTTTGTTACGGAATGGAGGCGAATATGAGCAAGATGGTGTGTTTAAATGGGAGAAATTATAATGTTTGGAGAAGCAAGATGAAAGATTTGTTGTTCGTGAAGAAGATGCATCTACCCATTTTTGCAGCTCATAAACCCGAGAGTATATCTGATGAAGATTGGAATTTCGAGCACCAACAAGTATGTGGATATATACGATAATTAGTTGAAGCTAATGTTCGCAACCATATTGTGAATGAGACACATGCGAGATCATTGTGGGAAAAGCTAGAGATTCTTTATGCTTCAAAAACTGGGAACAACAAGTTGTTCCTGCTAAAGCAATTGATGACCTTTAAATACAAGGAAGGCAACCCTATCCTTGATCACATAAATGATTTTCAGGGCGTCCTTGATCAACTGTCTGGAATGGGAGTTAATTTTGATGATGAGATACAAGGACTTTGGCTTCTTAATACTTTACTAGGCTCTTGGGAAACTCTTCGTATTTCTTTGACAAATTCAGCTCCTGGAGGTAAGGTGACCATGGAATATGCCAAAAGTGGTGTATTGAACGAGGAAGTAAGGAGAAAATCTCAAGGTTCGTCCTCACAAGCAGATATTTTGGTTATAGAAGACCGAGGGAGAGATAGAACAAGAGGCTCAAGGAATAGAGGTAAAAGTAGAAGTAAGTCAAGGTCCAAATACCATAATATTACATGCAACCACTGTGGCAAGAAAGGACATATCAAAAGATTTTGCCGCAAGTTGTTGCGAGACATTAGAGAAGGAAAGAAAGTTGAAAATAATGAGAACAATGTTGCTGTTATTGTTCGAGATGACCTTCTTTTTGCTTATTATGAAAACGTCATCAATTTGGTATCCCTTGAGATGAGCTGGATAGTAGATTCTGGAGCTACCTTACATGTCACACCAAGAAAAGATTTTTTCTCATCTTATACTCCCGTTGATTCTGGAGTGTTAAAGATGGGCAATGCCAGTGAAGTTAAGGTGTTTGGTATTGGCACAGTTTGTTTGAAAAATAATAATGGTTCAACGTTAGTTCTTCAAGATGTCAATCATGCTCCAGACTTTCCTTCCAATTTGATCTCCGTAGGAAGATTAGACGATGAAGGTTACCATAATGCCCTCTTTAATGGCCAATGGAAGCCCACTAAGGGCTCGTTAGTAGTGGCTCGAGGAGTCAAGTCTTGTCATTTATATGTGACACAGGGCTCTATTCTTAATGAGTCAATAAATCTGGTGGAAAGTGATACTTTATCAAAATTGTGGCACAGAAGATTGAGTCATATGAGCGAGAGGGGGATTACGTGTTTGGCTAAGAAAAGTTTGCTTTGTGGAGTGAAACAAGCAAAGCTAAAAAGGTGTATCCATTGTTTAGCTGGCAAACAGAAAAGGGTTTCCTTTCATAGCCATCCTCCCTCAAGAAAGCCCAATTTATTGGAGCTAGTACACTCTGATTCGTGTGGTCCTTTTAAAGTAAAGTCAAAAGGTGGTGCACTTTACTTTGTGACCTTAATTGATGATCATTCACGTAAGCTCTGGGTGTATCCTTTGAAATCTAAAGATCAAGCACTTGGCGTGTTTAAGGAATTTCAAGCCTTAACTGAGAGACAGACGGGGAAGAAATTAAAATGGATTCACACTGACAATGGTGGTGAATATTGTGGTCCCTTTGATAACTATTGCAAGGAACAAGGAATTCGTCTTCAGAAAACTCCGCCCAAGACGCCTCAATTAAATGGTTTGGCATAAGGACGAATAGAACTCTAGTTGAGAGAGTTAGATGCTTGCTTTGAGAAGCTAAACTTCCAAATACATTTTGAGCGGAAGCACTTAACATTGTTGCATATGTTATTAATTTGTCTCCTGCTGTTGCTTTGGATGGTGATGTCCCAGACAGAGTTTAGTTTGCCAAAGATGTTTCTTATGATCACCTGAGAGTTTTTGGGTGTAAAGCTAGTGTGCATGTTCCTAAAGATGAGAGATCGAAATTGGATGTCAAAACTAAGTAGTGCATCTTTATCGGTTATGGTCAAGATGAGTTTGGGTATCGTTTTTATGATCCAGTTGACAATAAACGCATTAGAAGTTGTGATGCAATATCCTTTGAAGACCAAACTATTGAAGATATTGACAAAGCTGAGAAGATAGATTCTCAGAGTAATGAGAGCTTAGTTGATACTGATCCAGTTTCAATTGCTAAGGCACCTATTGCACATGAAGGAACCCAAGACAATGATGGAGATAGTGATCAAGATCAAAATGATCATCATGGTGTAGATATTATGGATGCTCCAGTTGATGAAGTTGTGGTTGATCAGCAACCAATTCCTGCACAGGTAACTACTTAGAATGCTCCTGAAACCTCTCTTAGAAGATCTACAAGGGAGAAGCAAAAATCCATGCGCTATCCTCCTAATGAGTATGTACTTTTGACTGACATGGGAGAACCTGAGAATTATGATAAAGCCATGCAAGATACTCACAAAGATCAGTGGATCGAAGCGATGGAAGATGAGATGAAATCACTCCATGAGAATGGCACATATGAGTTAGTGAAATTGCCGAAAGGTAAGAGAGCTTTATCTAACAAATGGATATTCAGAATAAAGCAAGATAATCATACCTCTGCGCCTAGATACAAGGCGAGGTTAGTTGTTAAAGATTTTGGCCAGAAGAAGGGAGTTGACTTTGATGAAATTATCTCCCCTGTTGTGAAGATGTCTTCTATTCGTGTGGTTCTAGGGTTAGCTGCAAGTCTAGATTTAGAGCTTGAGCAGATGGATGTCAAGACTGCTTTTCTTCATGGTGATTTAGACGAGGAGATTTATATGGAGCACCTTGAGGACTTCGTCATTAAGCTTGCAGATAAGCATGCGTTTTGGAGAAAATTGGCAGGCATGAAGCCTGTCAATAGTTCCTCTACTTGAAGACACATTTGGCTCCTTGGTTGGAGGGGCAGTTTGTTGGGCACATGCCCATGTTGTCCATCCAAAGGCTCAATGGCCTAATCCTATTCTCTTTTGGTTTCCATTCCTATTCGGAATTGGATTCGGTGTTTATTCCTATTTTGAGTGGGTTTTGGCTTTAAGAGAAAGCACCACTCATGATCTATAAATAGGACAACCTTGGAGAATTGTTCTATGCTCATTGATACAAGTCTTTGAAAGGCTTAAGCACATAAGAGTGGT